CAAACCAGACCAAAGATTGCTGCAAAAAATTATGAATAGAGATATTTTTCTTAACGCTGCATGAGGGCTCCAAAGGGATAAAGTGGCAATTGGGAGGGGGAACAGCATACAGGGCACACACTGCTCAAGGCTAACCTGTTAGAGATCGAATGCTGCTGGATGTGTCTGCGTGCCTGCTTGGTGCACAACCACGCTCAGTGAACATGAAGAAAAGAAATGGCGGCATTCCAATATACAAACAGCTGACCTCTTTATTATTCAATCCATAAAGATAAAAAACCAGCAAAACACAGCTCTGGGAACATCAGTAAATTGGGAGGAGGTAGACTGGTGAGCCCAGAGCTGGGCTTTAAGTGTATTTTTCTTTAATGCAGGCAATATGAGTGCCTGAATTTGACTTGATGTACGCCTGTTGCAGATAAGTGTACAGCATGTTGATGGGGTTAAGGCCCTTTATATGAAAGTTCCACTCTTGGGAATGGTTTGGGGGTTGGATCACCATTTTGCATGTATATATAGCTCCTGTAGGATAAGAAGTGGGTTGGATGGGAAATTAGGGAACTGACTCTAGCAGCATGTGAGGCAACGAAAGCTTGGGGAGATACCCCCTCTGGAGTAGGCCTCAGGGCACCTATAAGAAAAGAGGGTCTGCGCTAAGAACAGTTTTTTGGGACTGAATCTATGTCTGAATGATATCCCCTGGTTGATACCAAGAGTTACAAAGGTTTAAGGAGGGGCAGGAGGAAAACATAATGGACCTGCTTTGTACTGTTTTTAATATTTTCTACTATGGCCTCTGAAAAATCTGGCCGTGTGGACAATCGTTTATTAACAGAATGCGAAAAGTACTAGAAGCGGGCCTCAGGCCAGGAATATGTGATTAACAAAGATGGCAGAATTCCTCTATAATTTGGTGTTTGGTCCCCATCTCGTTACTGTTTAAGCAAAATGAAGGGAGGTGCACAGGGCCAAGCTTGAACCTCCTTACAAGCAGGTCTAAGACTTGGGGAGAGAGAAGAAGTACAAGGACCCAATCAGCTGTTCTGAAGTGTAAGGAATACACTGATAGTAGGACAGATTATAGCGAGAAAGAGATGAAAGAAGTGTAGCGCTACCCTTACAGGAGCTGCTAATATTTGGACCTATATTCCCCACTCACAGCATGCAAAGCCATGTTGCACAACATAGGCTACAATGTGAAAAAGTAGGTGCTATGCCCAGAAATAATCCCCACGGAGGTGGAGTGTCGGTGATCTGGCTCTGTGTGTCTTCCCAGCACAGGGGCAAATGAATGATGAAGATTGATATAGCCGACACTCGTCTTCCTGAATAATAAGCTTTATTGAGTGAGTAAAATGTGCATATAAAATGGCTTACGCGTTTCAGCAATAAGCCTTAGTCATAGACCATGACTATGAGGCTTATGCTGAAATGTGTAAGCCATTTTATATGCACATTTCACTGGCTCAATAAAGTTTATAATTCGGGAAGACGTGTGCCGGCTATATCAATCCTCATCACATAGGCTACGATGTACCTTATCATGGTTAGTAGTAGTACAACGCCTGTCTGTCTTGCCCTGCTCCTGGCTGTACTAAGCACTGTCTCTAAATGGCATGCTCCTAGTTATTTTGCACACATCCTGGCTGTACCCAATACTGACTTCTAGTGTGACCAGTCACTTCTCCAATGAGTAGTTGGATCAAGTACTCACTCATTCCCAGAAAATGGAGTTTCCTCATTCCTGAGCTCCTGGCTCTTTATCCAGATGCTAACCCAGTCTCTCCCTCTCTGGGAGGGTTCCCAGCTAGGCCTAACTTGGAGCTTAATGGCTGCACAGGACTCCTAAGGCTCCTCCCTCTTCTTTTTCTGCCCCATAGGCCCTCAGCACAGGAGTCTCTTCCAGATGGCTGAACCCTGGAACTCTGCACTGGCTGCCAGCCTCTGAATATTTATAGACTCCCCAGCCACCTACTGGACCACACTCTCCAGGGGTTGGCTCCACAAGTGTCCAGGTTGCTGATTCTGCCCTCCCACTATACTTCTGGAAACATCCAGAAGAAAGGGGAAAGTAGCAGAACAGCAACCTGTGAGACACTGAACATTCTAAAACAATCAACCCCCTACTCCTCTGCCTACAGAGAAACTAACTAAATTTTCTTCTTACTGTACAGTCAAAGGCTAAGACCTAATCAAGTTGATTACCTACAGCAGGAAACAAAACAAACAAATCTCCTGTCCTGTCTACCAGGCAAATCTCAAAACTGAATGGACAGAAATGCAAATCCTTTGGCAGATAAAACAGCTCACATATATATATATATATATATATATATATACTGTATATATGTATTGTTTATATTCAGCTGTTGCCTAGAGTTCAGCTTTACCATAATTGTTATTATTTTATTATTATTTTCCAAAGTAGGGTTTCATTTTAGCGCTGCAAAAAATAACAAAGCCACGCAAGCCAAGAATTTAGAAATTTTCCAGTTATTTAGAATTCACAAAGCTTCCCCGCAAATTAATAATTTACAGAGGAAACATTGCGCTTTTACTGGAATACACAAACTGATTTAGCCACCGCCGCAGAAAGGAAACACCTGCCTCGGTCCGCCGTCAAATTAATAACTTGGACTGTAGCGTCAGGAGCGTTTTTATGCGGCCTTCCTAGCAAGGTATATCCAAACACGCCAGATAGTCGCTGCCCGCCTCTAAACCGATCACTTTTAAATAAATTAACCATGGCACTGCCTAATGCCGTCCACCTGCCTTCCCGCGAGTCGCGCTGGCGACCCCACCTGACCCCCCCTTTGATTAAATGTCAGGAGCTTGGTGCTCGCCTGCAAATTTCCACTGAAGGCAGATAACAGAAAGGTTCCTCTTGTGACTCCATAAAACCGAAATAAATTTCAGTGACATCTTGTAAATTTTTATTTTCTACAATGACTGCGGGCCCCATCTGTGGCCCAGCTGTTATTAGAAGCGAAAGCCTAGGCCCTTCTGCATTACAAAACAGCATAGAACAGTAATTGCCAGTGGAAGAGATTAAGTGTAGACACTAAAACTGTTTACTTGCAATGAATATGTATAACGATGGGTAAGACGCAGCACTGGAAGATTAAAAAGAGAGAAGGGTTTGTTTACAAGGCCTAGGAAAAAAAAAAAGAGAGAGAGAGAGAGGAATGTCAGTTGGCCGGGAGCCCAAAATAGGAACGGAAAACCTTTGGGCAAGGCATTAGGGAGAAAAACAGATGGTTTGTGAACCTTTTATTAGACAGAAAAATCATTAATCAAGCCCAGGATGGAAATGGCAAGGTTTTTTTTTCTAATTCATATTTAAGTTTTTTTTTCTTTTTTTTTAAAGCGACAGTATAGCCTTCCTGCACTGTTGGATGTTTTGGTTTAAGCTGTTCCTTTTTTTTTTTTTCTTAAACGAAAAAGGAAGTTGAATTCTAGAAGAGCAGCATTAAGCTCGCACTGTGCACAAATTCCTTGGTGTACAGTTACTCCCACCACCTGCTCAGAGGCTTCTATGAACAATTAAAATTGTGTCCGTGGAATTTAAATTTTATTTACTATTTTTTATGAGTTATTTAGATGTATTATATTACACTTTTATTCATTTAAAGATTGTGCAATCTGCGATCATTACTTGTCTGTGTATACATAAATGCAGTATAGATTTATGTATATACTGTGTATCTGTTTAAAAAAAAAAAAAATATTACATATATATTATATATATATGATATATATATATATATAGAGAGAGAGAGAGAGAGAGGGGGAGAGGGGGAGAGAGAGAGAGAGTATAATATCTATATTATATACTGTAAAATGTCTACATATAAAAATATATATAAAAAAAAAAAAAAAAAAAATATATATATATATATATATATATATATATATATATCATATAGTGATGGAAACACTCATGGGTCTTAAAGCAGGAGAATCTGTCCAGACAAGAGGTGTTTATTATATCCAATGTTGCAATGGAGCGCAATCCATTATTATTATTAAATATTGCCAATTTATCGTTTGTCAATATATGATTCTTTAATTAATAATATTAATTATTATGCAAAAATAAATCCAGAGACAATAAATATATATAAATTCATAGTTATAAAGGTTATCTAATTTTTTTTTGGCTTCCTGAAATTTTCTTGATTTTTTTTGAGAAGGAATACTTATCTACAAATTTCAGAATAGATAGAAATTTTTAGCACAAATATAATGTAACATACTGGAGTTATTAAATATACTGAAAAAAAGTAACCATACCTTCCTAGTCCTTAACTTCAACACAACCCTTAAGCCTAACCATTAACCCGAATCTGGATCTGGACACATCCGTCATAGTTCTGGGAGTGTTAGACGCTTCATTTCCCCCCTCTTTGCTGTGGTTTTATCTGCCAGCTGCTGTGCCACTCACTGATTGCATATACAGTAAGTTAAACAGGTTGTTAAGGTAGGCCTTCACTATACATAGTTGTTGACATTTTGAAAAAATATTGTACAGAAATCCATAAAAAGGATGCCACGGAACAGGAAAAGGTAAGGGGGAGGCAAGAAGTTGAATAAATAGAATGGGGAAATGCTATGTGAAAGGTTTAACTGACTGGATTTTTTCACTTTGAAAAGAGGCAATTAAAGTGGAATTAAACCTTAAAAAAAAACAAAATCGCGATGACATCATTGTGATCCAGCCAATCAAGCAGCCAAAGAATTTGAACCCAAAAGAAAGACAGAGGAAGAGCTGAGAGCACTAACACCGCAGCTCTGGAGGGGACTGCTACGCAGGTAAGTCTGCCATATACTGCTAATATGCTGATCAAACTAGTACATTGTGGCATAAAGCTCCCAGGGTCCATTTTTAACTTTTTTCTTGTATGAAGAAGTTTTATTCCACTTTATAGGGGTATATACAGTAATTTCTTGTATATACCGGTAATTACATTAATAAATAAAAAGTAGAGTATGTTTGTAAAGGAAGCAGTGTAAATTCAATGGGGCCCCACTAAAGTGAGGCTTTGGGTCGTATAGCGATGCAGAAATCTCTTGGGCATGGAGCCTGGCCTATAGGTTGGTATAAATTTGAGGAAGTGTGCAGGTTAGTGTTAGGAAGCAACATGATGTGGCATTACAAGACAATGAACTTGATGGCTCCATGAAGGCAAAGAGTATTGGCTTGGAATAGTGCCCCAGGAAACGTATTAGAAGACCATCTGTAAAGTGTACGAGCCTATAATCTTGAGGAGATTGCATGCACCCTAGCGCAATAAATATATTTTTTTCAGGTCTTCCATGATGGTCTAAAAATCTACAGTGAGAGGCTAAGCAAAGCTAGCCCTTCCTGGGTGGGTTGAGTATGGGAAGAAATTCTCTAAAATGTCAAGTATGTCTTAGGATTGTGTTGAGGGCAGCTATAAGATGTGCTACAGCCCCTCTGGGCTCATGTATAAAGAGACCCTTCAGATACCCTACTGTGAGGAAATTCTGTGAAGTGCCCATCCAGACAGTAAAGTGTCTTCCCAGTTACAATATCTTGAGGACTAACAGTTGATTGGATCATATCCATTCTAGGGATTTCTTTCCAACCACAAGAAGATTCATAAAAAGTTTACTTTTGTAGGCTGTGCTGCTTGTGCTATAAGAGACTACAACTTTTCCTTTGCTCAATCTTTGGCTTGTTTAACCCACACTTTATAGCCACTTTTGGTCTTCTAACTTTTGGGTACTTTCTAAGATATTGCACTACCAAGGATGGGGCTCAGTTAGGACTCCTGTCTTTTCCCTGGGTTAGTAAAGTTATTGTATTTGTCACAAAATGTTCTATTTACTGTATGTCTTCCATCACTTGTACTCTCCCCAATCTACCTGACCATATTCAGCATAGCCAAAGAACCCAAAGTAGAACTAAATCAGGGGTCTTCAAGCTTCAAACAAGGGGGCCGTACTTTGGCCATTGGGAGTAGAAAAGTCCTGACGTCAGTGGGAATAGAAAATGCTCCATCTTCTGAGTCAGTGGGAGGTATATCACCCTATTGGTGTCAGTGGGAGGAAGAGTGCCCTATCATTGGTGTCAGAGGGAAGAATTGTCCCCCATCATTTGTATCTTTGGGAGGCATTGTGACCCATCATTGGTGTCATTGGGTCCCATAGTTGGTGTCATTGAGAGCAATTGTGCCCAATCGTTGGTGTCATTGGGTGGAAGTGTGCCCCTTCATTTGGGTCAGTGGGGGGAATTATATTCCTATGGTCAAAGTTTAGAGATCACTGATCTAAATCCAAAACGTTTTTCATGTTGCATACAGTAGGGGAGAATTAAGTGATGTCTTGATAAGTGCACATTGACCTGGTGTACACATTAGTTATTGCTACTGCAGTGATGTATTGTGGCTTTTTTATATAGTGTGGTGTGGATTTCACATTGTTTTCCCTATACAAATTAGGCCCTCTTCTCTGTGGCTTCCAGCGTATAGGACATACAGTATAGTCACATTTTATACATATATTTATGCTCTCCTGCATATGCTGCTGGAAATACATTAAATGACAAAGTAAAAAAAAAAATACAAAAGATTTCTGCAGAATGTGCAGCCAGATGGAGCTTAGGCTGCAAGTCAACATGATATGGTAACGCAATTATGTTTGGCTAGACGAGAATATATTGGTTTTGTAGAATACAATATAACAGAATATGCCGTTGTGCACATATATATCCTACATGTATTCAGCAGTGATGGATGGCAAACATGTACTTATTTTATATAAGTAAAAAATAACAGAATATATCTCTAAACTGATGTAAGTACAGGATGCTAAAAATCATTACTCTTTGCACTGCCTATGGTATTCAAGCAAACTGTGACCTGCCTCTTTTTTTTTTGTTGCATCCTCTTGGTCAGATACGGATAGCTGCCTCATTGGCTGGTAATTGCACTTGTGGTTGATAACTGCATAAAAAAAATATGATAACCTAGGAATGTGAGAAGGCACCTGGAGATGGTGGGGAGATGTTTTCAGGATGGATCTGAAACAAACATCTTACAAAGTAAGGTGAGCCCAAACTTTACATTACACAAAAAAGACTAACACAGTGGTCTGAAAACTGTGGCCCATGGGCCATATGGAGCCATTTTCTTGCATTTTCTGGTTCCTGAGGCCCTATTACTTTCACTGATATGAGGAACTATCCCTCCTATCGACACCAATGATGAGAAACCATTCTTTCCACTGGCACCCACTAGGGGGGATTATTCCTCCCACTAATACCAACAATGGGCACTATTCCCCTTACTAATACCAATGATGGGGCACTATTCCCCCCACTAATACCAATGATAAGGCACTATTCCCCCCCACTAATACCAATGATAAGGCACTATTCCCCCCACTAATACCAATGATAAGGCACTATTCCCCCCACTAATACCAATGATAAGGCACTATATTCCCTTCACTAATACCAAGAATGGGGCACTATTCCCCTCACTAATACCAATGATGGGGCACTATTCCCCCACTAATACCAACGATAAGGCACTATTCCCCCCACTAATACCAATGATAAGCCACTATTCCCTTCACTAATACCAAGAATGGGGCACGATTCCCCTCACTAATACCAATGATGGCGCACTATTCCCCTCACTAATACCAATGATGGGGCACTATTCCCCCCACTAATACCAATCATATGGCACTATTCCCCTCACTAATACCAATTATGGGGCACTATTCCCCCCACTAATACCAATGATAAGGCACTATTCCCTTCACTAATACCAAGAATGGGGCACTATTCCCCTCACTAATACCAATGATAAGGCGCTATTCCCTTCACTAATACCAAGAATGGGGCACTATTCCCCTCACAATACCAATGATAAGGCGCATTCCCTTCACTAATACCAAGAATGGGGCACTATTCCCCTCACTAATACCAATGATGAGGCACTATTCCCCTCACTAATACCAATGATAAGGCACTATTCCTTTCACTAATACCAAGAATGGGGCACTATTCCCCTCGCTAATACCAATGATGGGGCACTATTCCCCCCACTAATACCAATGATAAGGCACTATTCCCTCCACTAATACCAATGATAAGGCACTATTCCCTTCACTAATACCAAGAATGGGGCACTATTCCCCCCATTAATACCAATGATAAGGCACTATTCCCCTCACTAATACCAATGATAAGGCACTATTCCCTTCACGAAAACCAAGAATGGGGCACTATTCCCCTCAGTAATACCAATGATGGGGCACTATTCCCCCCATTAATACCAATGATAAGGCACTATTCACCTCACTAATACCAATGATAAGGCACTATTCCCCCCACTAAAATCAATGATAAGGCACTATTTCCCTCACTAATACCAATGATAAGGCACTATTCCCCCCACTAATACCAATGATAAGGCACTATTCCTCCCACTAATACCAATGATGGGGCACTATTCCTCCCACTAATACCAATGATGGGGCACAATTCCGCTCACTAATACCAATGATGGGGCACTATTCCTTCCATTAATACCAATGATGGGGCGCTATTCCTCCCACTAATACCGATGATGGGCGCTATTCCTCCCACTAATACCAATGATGGGGCACTATTCTTCCCACTAATACCAACGATGGGGCACTATTACTTCCACTAATGTGAATGGGGTACTATTGCCCACACCAATACTCTTGATAGGGAACGTTTCCTCCCTCTAATCCCAATGATAGGGCACTATTTCTCCCACTTCTACCAATGATGGGGCACTGTTCCTCCCACTGATACCAATGATGGGGCACTATTCCTCCCACTAATACCAATGATAGGGCACTATTTCTCCCACTTCTACCAATGATAGGGCACTGTTCCTCCCATTGATACCAATGATAGAGCACTGTTCCTCCCACTGATACCAATGATAGGGCACTATTCCTCCTCCTACTGACCACAGATGTTACGGAATTTTTTTTTACTCCTACTGGCCACCTATTCTTAGGCGTTATATACTATACCAGTGATGCCATAGGCATTTTCCTACTCCCAATGGCCACAGTCCAGCCACCCAAAGTAAAAAGGACAGTAAAGTGTCCATTTGTATAGAAGGTTTGGATACACCTGACCTAAAATAATGACATTTTGTATGCAAAAACACTGTATAACTGCCATTTTTTTTGTAGTAAAATACTAATTTCAGCCTTTTTTTCATCCATTGTTGCCATAGGCATTTTCCTACTCCCAATGGCCACAGTCCAGCCACCCAAAGTAAAAAGGACAGTAAAGTGTCCATTTGTATAGTAGGTTTGGATACCCCTGACCTAAAATAATGACATTTTGTATGCAAAAACACTGTATAACTGCCATTTTTTTGTAGTAAAATACTAATTTCAGCCTTTTTTTCATCCATTGTTGCACATCGGCACTGTGGATTTCCTGCAGCTGCTTTCTGTTTAAATATACCCCAGCAACTGCTGAATGTCATATCTCAGGGTGGGTTTTTTGTTGGTGACAACAGTAGAATATGCTCATCAGCAGGGCTGTTTGTAATCCAGATTGGAAGAGCATGCGGCAAAGTGGCAACATAGAAGAACAGTTGGGATTTCTCTGCAATCAATTTAGTAGAGGTACTTGCTACAGTGATTTCCAGATTCCAGGGGTATCTCACAGGTGTGGCACATATACTGTATACTTACATTGGTCTAAGCTGAACCAATGTAACGACTGTATGTAGAAATTGCCATACCTAAGCGCATAACTAAGTGCATCATTCTCTTATAAGAGATTTGCTCTCCACTCTTTAGCAGAAGTACTGCTACAGGGTGGCACGGCTGTGCAAAATCATATATATATATATATATATATATATATATATATATATATATATAATGTGCATTTCAGGATAGGGGTCACGCCGCTATTGGCTGCTGGGGATATCAATCACTGGTTCCCAGCCGGCGATTTCTGGCCGGGACTCAGTGATCGTCGGCAGGGCTCAGAGGGGAGAGATCTGTGTGTAAACAACACAGATCTCTCTCCTGCCAGCAGAGAGATACAAAGCAGCATGTCTCCCAAGTAAAACACAACACAGCACATTGTTAACCCTTTGATCACCCCAGATGTTATCCCCTTCCTGCCCAGTGTCATTAGTACAGTGTCAGTGCTTTTTATTAGCACTGATCACTGTATTAGTGTCACGGGGGATGTCAGTGGCAGTTAGTCATTTCCCACCCCCAGTGTCAGAATGCCCACCATAGTTCCACAGTACCACTATAAGTTGCTGATAGCCGCCATTACTAGTATAAATAAAATAAAAATAAAAATTCCAGTATATATACTGCCATATGTAGATGCTATAATTTTTCACATAAACAAATTAATTTACATGTATTGGGATTTTGTTTAGCAAAGACATATAGCAGAATACATTTTGGATGAAATTTATGAAGATATTTGATTTTTAAAATTTTTTACCGGATATGTTTCATAGCAAAAAGTCAAAAATATATTTTTTTTCAAAATTGTCGTGTTTTTTTGTTTATTGCACAAAAAATTAAAAATGCAGAGGTGATCAAATACCATGAAAAGATGGCTCTATTTGTGGGGAAAAAATGACATAAAATTCATTTATGTACAGCATTGCATGACTGTGCATTTGTCAGTTAAAGTAACACAGTGCCGTATCTAAAAAAAAATGGCCTAGTCAGGAAGGAGGATAAATCCTCTGGAGGGTAAGTGGTTAATGATTGGGTTTACATCAAAGTTAGTATAAGGCAGAGAAGCATTTACATCTCCAACCCAAATGGCTAAAGTAGGTTAGTTTGGCCTTGAGCTTAGACTGTAGATGTGAGTGGAGAGCACTGTACATGAAAAGGATGTTTTAGAAACTTCAGCTGGTTGAAAAACAATGACAAATGTATTTGTATATGGCATTTTACTTCGTATAATACAGCTATAGCTAAAACTTAAAAAGCCAACTTTTTTAGTTTTTCTGTCTGTGTTCCATTAGGAAGATTTTCTTACACTTCCTGTCTTGCAAACACTACAGAAGTAAAGGAAATCAGACAGTTGACACGTTTCATGTGTCTCCATTGACATATTTGCCTCTTATTCTGGTTCTGGTGACTCCTCAAAATTTTGGATACTTCCTCACTTTCAGTCCTGATGCCAACGATCACCAGAACATATACAGAGGACAAATTTTCACAACAGGAAAACCCGATGGACGGTCTACAAATCACTACTCTATCCAAATCTTAAATAAAAACATGACTTCATCGTGATTTATGTGAACTTGCTTGGATCACTGGACAATATGACTGATGATGGATGTGCATCATGGGACTTTTTTTTTCACTCAGTCTTAATTTCTTATTAGTTTTTTTATAAACAGGGATTACAGATTGAAAGAGCAGAAGAAGTATGAAGTGTAGAAGGTTCATATCAACGAGATGTTAGGACATTACAACCTCGGATCATCTAGATAGGAGATAGGAAGGCAACAACCCAACTAAATTAGTGGAATTCTGCTTTCTCTGTAACATAAGAAAAAAGTCCTTCCAGTTCAACAAAAAAAAAAATTATAATCCTACACCCACAGTTGATCCAGAGGAAGGCAAAAAACCCAGCAAAGCATGATCCAATTTCCTCCTGCAGGGGAAACAATTCCTTCATGATCCCCCGAGAGGCAATCAGACATTCCCTGGATCAACTTTACCTATAAATGTTAGTATCCAGTTATATTCTGTGTATCCAAGAAAGAATCCAGGACTTTTTTAAAGCAATCCACTGAGCTGGCCGGAACCAACTCTTGAGGGAGTCTATTCCACATTTTCACAGCTCTTACTGTGAAGAAACCTTTCCATGTTTGGAGATAAAATTTATTTTCCTCCAGACGTAAAGAGCGCCCCCTTGTCCTCTGTGATGACCTCAGGGTGAATAACTCTGCACCGAGTTCACTATATGAACCACTGATGTATTATACATGGAGATCATATCCCCCCCTTATGTATTATACATGGAGATCATATCCCCCTTATGTATTATACATGGAGATCATATCCCCCTTATGTATTATACATGGAGATCATATCCCCCCTTATGTATTATACATGGAGATCATATCCCCCCTTATGTATTATACATGGAGATCATATCCCCCCTTATGTATTATACATGGAGATCATATCCCCCCCTTATGTATTATACATGGAGATCATATCCCCCCTTATGTATTATACATGGAGATCATATCCCCCCTTATGTATTATACATGGAGATCATATCCCCCCTTATGTATTATACATGGAGATCATATCCCCCCTTATGTATTATACATGTTGATCATATCCCCTCTTATGTATTATACATGGAGATCATATCCCCCCTTATGTATTATACATGGAGATCATATCCCCCCTTATGTATTATACATGGAGATCATATCCCCCCTTATGTATTATACATGGAGATCATATCCCCCCGTATGTATTATACATGGAGATCATATCCCCCCTTATGTATTATACATGGTGATCATATCCCCCCTTATGTATTATACATGGAGATCATATCCCCCCTTATGTATTATACATGGAGATCATATCCCCCCTTATGTATTATACATGGAGATCATATCCCCCTTATGTATTATACATGGAGATCATATCCCCCTTATGTATTATACATGGAGATCATATCCCCCCTTATGTATTATACATGGAGATCATATCCCCCTTATGTATTATACATGGAGATCATATCCCTCCTTAATCTCCTCTTCTCAAGAGAGAATAAATTCAGTTCCTCTAATCTTTCCTCATAGCTGAGCTCCTCCATGCCTCTTATCAGTTTTGTTGCCCTTCTCTGTACTTTCTCCAGTTCCCCAATGTTCTTTTTGGGAATTGATGCCCCAAACTGCATATTCCAGATGAGGTCTTACTAATGATTTGTACCGGGTTAAATTATATCTCTCTCTGGAGTCTATACCTCTTTTAATACAAGAGAGGATTTTGCTCACTTTAGAAACCGCAGCTTGTCAACGCATGCCACTATTAAGCTTGTGATCTACCAGAACTCCCAGATCCTTCTCCATCATTGATTCCCCCAGTTGTACCCCCCCAGTATGTATGATGCATGCATATTCTCCCCCCTAGTTCAACAATTCAATTAACAGGCTCATCTATTGGTATAAAGAGAAGGATTGAGGCTATGAGGAATGTGGCTAGTAGCAAGGGGAGAAAGAAGAAGTCAGGTCAGAAAGAATGGGACAGCGTGGATAGGAAGAGAAGAAGGAAAGTTGGGACACGGCATCATAGCTGGTTGCAGGTTGGAGGAATGACTTCCTCAATCTAATCCTGAAATGCAGAAGAGTAGCGGAACATAGACCACAAGGTTCAGGTTTTACTGAAATGCTCCTTCCTGCCATTCTCCATTCAAATGTTTCAGGTCTCTTATGGAGTCACGCTCATGGGACTTTTTTAATAACAGTCAGTGTGTTTATTTACTGGGTTTTTTTGTGAATAAATAGGGGCATTATGTAACCTTTACTCACTCACTTGGGGAGGGGGGTGGTATCTGGGTGCCCTCTGTTGTTAAAGTTGGCTTCCTGATTCAAAAAAGTCCCCCCGCAGACCCCCACAACTGCCAGGCCAGGTTTGTGGGGAACAGGCCCTTGTCTGTGTGGGAACAAGGTGCTTTGGCAGGGGTCCCCCCCCCCTCTAACAAGGTACCCCCACATGTTCCCTCCTAAAATCAATATTATTTAAATCACCTGTTCGATTGCTTGGTAACACAAATCAGCCAATCATATGGCAGCAACTCAAAGCATTTAGACATGTAGATGTGGTGAAGACAACTTGCTGAAGTTCAAACCAAGCATCAGAATGGGAAAGAAAGGGGATTTAAATTACTTTGAACGTGGCATGGTTGTTGGTGCCAGACAGGCTAGTCTGAGTAT